TGAACCAGTATGAGCCAGACCTAAATGTGCAGTGGTGATGGAAAAGTTACAGGGTAGGATTTCCAGAAGGGAGGGTTGGCCAAAGCTTTTCCTTATAAAGCTGCTATTCATTAGAAAGTCAAAACGTCATTTCCCCCTCTCCTAAGTTAGATTGTTTCTTATTCTTGGTAATACTCTTAAACCCTGTTTTATGTTATGATTTGAGTTACTACTGCTCTATATTAACCAGAACTGTGAAGTTCTTTAGTTACTGACTTCTGTGTTCTGAGGCAACTTTATTAACAGACTTCTGATTGTCCATTGAACTTTAATCATTTAAGCATTATATTTTGTGTTTGGGTCTCTTCACTCTTTCACATTTCTGAAAGATGGGAGTTTTCAAAGGAAATGTTCTACTTTGAGTGCTACTTTATTTTTCCATCAGAGAGAGGAACTTTTTTCCAAGAGTATTTAGCAGCCACACTACTACTTCTTTATGGTCTGCAAATGTAGTAAGTGGTTAACCTTTACTACGTTTTCACTGGAGAGTTTAGTGTGGCTTCTTTTTGTCCATTTTGATAAGCTTAATAAGAATGGCCTACAAAAATTTTTGTGTAGAAGGAAGTCAAATATTCAGTGGGTTAAATCAAAGTAAGTTTTCCGTCAGAATGCTGAAGGACACTGCTGAAAGCTCTGTGATGTTACACCCCAACCTAAGTAACAAGTTAATACGTACTTGATGAGCCACTTGCTCCCAGGCTTATGAGCCATTGTCTTCTTGCTTGTTTTAATCAACACTAGTATTTCATATGTTGACATTTCTATATGTCAACACAAATGTAATTCTACTCAGTCCAGGAAAGCAAAAACAAGAATGGACTATGGACTTTGTGGATGTATGTTATGTGTAAAATGTTACATCTTATTATTTTTTAATAAGCTGTTAGTAGCTTGGGAGCATTCTGACAGAGAAGCACACGTTTGTATCTGGTATATTTACTGATTAATTAATTTTTTTAGGAAGGAAACATACAGTGGTGTACATTTAGAAATAATTCAAAATTTGGCTTTGTAGAAGCTTACAAAAAAGATAGTACAGTGTGGTCTTCTCCGGCCTAAACAGAACTATGATTCTGTGCGAGGAGATGACAGCGGGAAACACTTAGGGGAAAAACTCCTCTTGGGTAACTGTAGGCCTGGTCTTACAAATACCCAAAGAGAGGGTCACTGAAATAGCAAGTCATAACTAGACTATTAACCAAGTAACTATGTAAAGTCATCATTACATTTAGTATATCACTAAAATGCTTTATAATAATGATAACTTCATGTTTGTGGTATTTGTTAGTGTGGAATAGTAAATTTTAAGGTTACAATCTGCAGAATTCAAGAATTCAGGATTAGCTATGATAAATAGAAAGACTGGGTTCTCTCTGCAATGAAATTTCTTGAGTCTTGGCATGGTAATAGATGGGATTGTGTCTTTTTGAAGCCCATTGTTTTGCTGGAGAACTGTCTGAGTTCATCCCAAGGATGGTGAGGCTGGGGTGACAAACGTGTCTCCAATTTCTCTTGGGCAGTTTAAACATGTGGAGAAAATGGAAGTACCTTATGTATCTCCTGAGTTTGATTTCAGACTTTTTTTCTTCTTGTTTTAATTTTTCCTTTTCTAAAGCTAATGTTTCTTGTCTTCACAGCAACTTATTCCATATGTTGAAGAAGATGGCTCCAAGCATGATGATCGTGGTGCTGCAAGTCAGCTTCGTTTTGCTAGTGAAGAGAGAAGGGAAATCATGGAAGTAAATAAGGTAATGAAGTTGAAATTAATTTGCATAAAGTGGGAAATGTCACTTTAATGTTACAAAGCTTAGATTTCCAGATCTCTGTACTAAATGCAGAATGTGTGATGACTACCATTGAACTTGGTGATAAATACTTCTTGCATGTAAATATTTCAGTTACCTTTTAGTAAACTATTGTTTTTGTAGCTGTACCTCTGGCTGTAGAGTTTAGGTTTCCTGACAATTTTAACTTGTGCCTCTATTAAAACTGACATATATTCTCCTGAATACAGTGTATTATGTGTCTGCTTAACTCAGTAGATATTGGCAGTGCAGACTGAGGTAAGGTGCCTGTTGAACTTACTTCTCTTCAAAACTTACCTTAGGTGTCAAAAAATGGATATTGAACACCAGATGTGTAAATATTATTACAATTATGTGAGTTGGTAAAGGATTTTCAGGGCTACCTTCTGAATTCTGACAGTTTGAGGAAGAAACTTCCTTTTCTTAAGCAGAACATTTATTGAATTTTGACACATTCAGAAAAAAATGTCCTATGAGTTATAAAGATGCTGTTAAATTTTCAGTTTGAGTGAAAGTATGCAATTGGGTACAATTACTAAAGATGAATGAGAATCTAAAAATAAATATGCTGTAGTAAATGCTAATATAATATTGAGATTAAAAATATGTAGTTTTACCAGACCGCAATTTTGAGCATTGTTTCTTCAATCAGTAAAGTACAAAGACAGGATTAATTAAATATTTCTATGGCTGTAATATCTGTAAATCCTCAGTAAAAAGGAGGTATTATCTACAAAAAATAACTGAACAAAGGAAATAAGTGAATAAAATGCATATTTATGGAGTGAATAATTGGTGGATTTTCAGCTTGTCAAATATTTTCAATAGTTTAATTTGACTTCAACAATCAGGGATGTATTGAATTTTTCATAACCCATTTATTTAGAAAAATGCACATGTATTGTACAGGAGAAAATGAGGACTACGTGAATTTAGAGAAAAGCAGTTGTCAGCTTTCCTGTTGTAATTTTTGTCTTCAGTGCTGATGTAGCAGTGTTGTATATATTATGTGGTATGTAATGTTGTACTGTAAATTTATGCACAGTTATTTGCAATCTTTCAGTATTAATAAGCTTGACTGTCCATATTTGCTGTGGTTTTAATAGTTCTATGACATGTTTTTGCCCTTGTTGTTGTACTTGTATGCTAATATGTTTTTAAACCTCCTTGGTGTGATCTTGTGAAAAGAATTTCATAAATTTTTATAATAAGTTCTGAACCTTAAAATGGTTGATGGTGTTACAGGACCATTGGTAGCAAACTGGTGATTAAGAATGCATTCAAATCTTCACTTAAATCTGGTCTGAAATCCTGTATTTACACTTAAATGCCTAGACCAAGATTCTTGATTTTCCACAGTAAATCTTCACAAGATAGTCAAACTTTCTCTGGTATTCTTGTGGAGAAATACTTAGTAACTGCTGCAAAAGGAAGTGAAAATTCTTGTTTCTTGAAAGTGTACTGATATTTTTTTCCTTCTTCCTCCAACTGTATAAGCACAGAATAAGAAGTACTTCAGGGTTTATGCCTAGAAATAAAGAAATTCCTTTTGTAAAGAAAAATCACTAGAATCAGATTAGTTGGTCTAATTTCTGATGCTAGCTGCTAGGTTCTTAGCTGGCACTGCTGACAGCTTTTCAGTCCTCTATAGTATGTAATGTCCACCTCCAACTCAATTTGATTAATTTGTTTTGGAAAAATTTCAGTAATACAAGATGTTGATGAAAATGCTGTGACAAGGAAATGAATGTGACAGATGAAGCAGCTTTTTATATTTTCCTTCAGTTAGTTCTGTTCTCACCTAATCCTTTCTGCTGTGATAGGCAGTGTTTTTTCAGTCTTGCATGTTATTGGTACCAAAAAAAGCAGTACTGTAATAATCCAATACTTTGACACTATTGAGATATTTGAATTCTTAGACCTGTTACAGGTCTTAATTTTGCCCTTCTTGCTGTGATTTCCCAGCCAGTATGATTTCTTTAGTGATTCTGGATGTATGTGAAAGGCACTAACTGCCCTGCAGTGTGGAGCACAGCCAAAACTACTAGTAGTTCTTATAAACCTTGTGGATCATATCTCACACAAAAATGTCCCTCATTCCATGAACCACTGACTTGTAACATAGCGGCTGTGCTTTGCTACTGCAGTTGTCTGGTAAAGCAGCATCCTCAGTGAAGGAGGAAAGGAGCATCAGGTGCTTCCTGTACTCACTCTCATTCATGGGGCAGGAGAACCTGTTGATGTAGCAGAGTTCCTAAATACTTTTAAGAGCTTTTGATGTTGGTTTACTGCATAGTGACATCATTTGGCCTTACTTAATTATTCTGCTATATTAGACCTTTTAGGTCAGAAAGTTTAATGTGCTCATCCTGGCTATGGAAGAACTTGTCTCTTAATTTAAAATATAGATCAGTTTACAAGGTAATGAGTTGCTGTCCTAGCAATTGAGTAATATTTAGCAACTGCAGGTTTAAATCAGACCTATTAAGCTTAATACCAAAAGGGAGTTATGCCAGCACTAAGGAGCTTGGACCATTATAAAGCAACCAAAAAATATAATTACTTGAACACTGGCTACCTCTAGCTCTTGTACTAAACAATTTTCTTCTGCAGTTCTGAAAAATGCAGTTTATTCCTTCTCATCTGTATTTGCTTTCTGGGCTGGTAAACTGTTGCAGTGGTTGACTTTTTTGAAATAAGTAATTTACCATTCCAGAATCAGTTTAGCATTTGCATTGATCTACTAGTACAAATCCTGATCCAGTTTTCATTGAAATTTATCTATTTGCAGCAAGTGGAAGCTGTTACCAAGATTTCCTCGCTTGTCTTCATGTTTTTGAGTGTTTAATGTTCTTCTAAGTACATCATCATTGGTATTATTTTCAAGATGTCAGGCTCACCGTAGGTCTGTGGTCTTGTGGTATGTTTGACAGGACTTAAAACAGAAAATATCAAATCACAAACTGAGAACACTTTAATCTGTGTTGCTGCCCTATCAGCAGTTGGCTGCTTGTTTTTAGAAATGGAGCAAGTACAGATTAGGTTTCTTAGGTAACTGTAGGTCTGGTTTCAAACAAAGCACTTAGGAAAACCATCACATAATTAGTAGTCTCAGAACATTTGGGTGAAAATGAAATTATGTGAAATAGCATTAGGACATTCCAGGTGACCCTTTAGAAAATAATCATGTTTGATATTCTTAATTAACATTTGCTAAGTATTTAACAGTGATCTTGCTAAGAGAGGAAAAGACAGTCTACGTGACAGACTTAAGCTGTTACGAGTTTAGGTCTTGGATTTTTGATAAGAAAAACATTGTGCCCTGCAGCTGCTGTTGTTTACGGAAGTAGTCCTTAAAATAACAGCAATTTCCAGTTAATCTTTCTCTTTGGAAAACTTTATTTGAAAACTACTTTTCACTGTGCTGAAAACTTACATTCCTTTTAAACTACCGTTTACACTATTTGCATGTATTTTTAATGTGTTTTGTATGTGTAGAGTCCTTTTTCACCCAAAATATGAAAGTGCACCAAGGAAGACTTTGGCAAGAGAGGAAGAATTCTTTATTTGGACACCTTCTCAGCAGATTAATCTGCACTGGAGGCAGTTCCATCATATTTTGAGTACTCAGACTGGCTCTCTGCAATGGTAGAATTTAGGCTTAGTGGGTGGTCTGGAGATTAGCTGGTTCAGCCCCCAGCTCAAAGCAGAGCCAGCCAGCAAAGTTAGATCCAGTTGCTCAGGCTCATGTCCAGTAGCATTTCAAAAATCTGTAAGGATGGAAATTCTACTTTTTCTGGGCCCTCCTTAAGGGTTGACTATCACTGTGAAGTTTTCCTAATGTTACATTGGAATTTTCTTTGTCATAACTCTTATATCCACTGCCCCCATCCTTTTGCTGTGTACATTCAAGAAGAGTCAAGCTTTACCTTTCCTATGATCTTCATTAGGTAGCTGAATACAGCACCGTGATCCTGTCTTACAGCCTTCTCTGCTTGAGACTGAACAAATACAGCTTAAATCATTTTGGTGGATTTCCACGAGGCATTACCCAGTATGTTAGTGCTTTGTATTGATCCCCAAATTGGACAATCATTCTCTAGAGCCAAATAGAGGAGAATAACAATTTCACCTGACCTGATAGGTACACTCCTGCTAATACAGTGCAGCAGAGTTAGTCTTCGTTGTTGCAAAAAGATCTGCTGCTGACGCATGTTCAACTTGTCAGTTTCAAAAAGGACCTCAGATCCTTTTCTACAAATTTGCTTTCTGTTCAGTCAGCCCTCACCCTGTGCTGTTGTATGAGTTTATCCTGTGTGCAGGTGTAGGATGTTGCTTTAATTGAAGTTCCCAAGATAGGTGTTGGCCTGCCTTTCCCACCTGTTGAGATCCCTCTGAATCAGACATCCTGCCAGAGTATGTTGATCGCTTTCCACAAATTGATATTGTCCATATATTTGAGACTTCAATACAGTGATTAGTATGAATTAGTCATTAATGAGGATATTAAGAATATTCACCTCAGTATCAATCCTGAGAAACTTCAAGCGTGCCCAGCTACCACTTGGTCTTAATACTGCTGATGCCAACTTTTAGAATCACATAGTCCATCCAGTTCTCCATCAACCCTGTGATCCACCTATCCAAACCACATCTCTCCAATTTGTCTGCCAAACTATGAGAGGCTATGTCAAAAGCCTGGCTCATATGAAAGTAAAGAAAATTCCCTGCTCTCCACTTGCCATGCAGCCTGTCATTTTTCAGTAGAAAGCTATCGTGTTGGTCAGGCACAACACACCTTTGGTAAATCGAAGATGACTGTTCCCAGTCACTTTAGCATTCATGTGTCGGGACATGACTTCCAGAATGATTTGCTGCATAGCCCTTCTGGGGTCAGGGGTTAGGCTGACCAGCCTGTAGTTTTCTGGATCCCACTCCTTGCTTTCTTGCAGATGAGTTGAGATGTTTCCTTTTTCACCAGGAGACTCTCGCCATCTCCAACAGAAAATTACATAGAGTGGTCATGTAATGTCATCAGCCAGTTATCTCAGCACTCAGATGCATTTTATTCCAGATAGGGAAATACTTCCTTTTCAGTTTCATATAAAATATTGCATGCAAAGTTTTTCATGTTGTGTCCTCTATCAAAACAATGTCATGGTTGCAAAGTTGAAAAAAGTTCGGGAAAACTGAGCTTAAAGCTGTCTATACAGTCCCATTTGTCACCTTTTGTCCTCATATAAATGCATATTGTACAACCTTTATCACATCTGATACTTCTTGTCCCCTCCCCCCTTTCTTTTCTGGAAGAGTCCTTGAGCTATTCTGCTTTCGTTGCAGACTAGGCACTGTTTAGATTGACTCAGTATTACAGTAAATAAGATTATAAAAATCCTGGTTTGCGTGTTGTGTAACTGGCAGGAGGGTGTTGAATAAGCAGGGAATTTGGGAATGAGAAGGAAGGATCTAATGTGAGTAGTAAGTAGCTGAAGGCAGCTTTTGAGAACTGGAGGGTTTTTTCTCTCTGCCACAAAATATTTGTGGTAGTTGTTCATTTTGAATATGTGGGAAGCTGCTTAAGTATGTTTAGTGATGAACTTGAGTCTTGAATGTCTCTGGACAAAGTTAGTAGGTATTCCAGTTTTATCTGTAATGTTCATGTGACTTAGTTTGCCATCTGTAACTGAGGGTCATACGTCTGTGTGATTTTCATGTTAGGAATGGGGATGTAACACCAAGGAGAAGCACCTTGGGTAGTGGATAATTCCATTACAAGCTCCACTACTTAGATGGTACTCAGTAAATTAGGACCTCAGACCTCATCATTGAATGATAAATAATTGGTATGAAGCAAACATTCATTATTTGAATGAACTTGCTTATTCGTGTCTACACCGCAGAGCTGTGGACACATGCCATCCTGTCTGGGTCAGTAGGTGAGAAGTATTGAGCATGCAGTGGAGCACAGGCTGTCACTGGTGCCTCTTCTTGTTTGAGGAGCACAGAGTGCAATTCTTCTTCTACCTGTGAGGTGAGGAGCGAGGCAGAAAGCCCAGTCTCATTTCTGGTAAGGGTAGAACAGTTATGCCTCTGAATGACATCAGGAAAAGCCATAGTTATTGACCTATTAGTGTGTTCATGTTTAACTGCACAGCAGTTACTGTATTAGTGCTAAATATATTTTATCCCTTTTGAAAAAATATTATAAATAGATACATGAATTTATTACGATGGAAAGTGGGCCTTGGTATCAGTTGAGCAGCCATAAGTTAGAACATCACCTGGCAGCTTTAAGAGAATTCCAGCAAAGCATTGAGGCATTTTGTCTACCGTATTTTTTTCTGGGTATGTGCATATAACATTATAAGTCTTTTGGCTATAAAACTGAAGGAAAGAAGAAAAGAGAAGGTTTTTCCACCTTCTTACTTCAGAATTTTAATTATGAAGTACACATTGAAAAAATAGACCAGTATGAATTTCGGTCTCCTATCACAAATATTGTGTTGCTGTGGAAATTTCTTGGATTTCCTCTATGGAAACAGAGGCCACTGTCACCTTCATAAGTCTTTCAACAATCACTTCCCACAGCAGTTTAATGGTCAAAAGGAGTAACATGCATCCAGCTTGAGGCTCCTCAGCACAGGAAAGACATGGACCTGTTGGACCAGGTCCAGAGGAGGACCACAAAAAGTCAAGACCAGTGTGCAAAGGAAAGTTCTCATACATCTCTGATAGAAAGTTGTGAATTGGTCTAGATAGCACTGAATTCAAATGAAATGAAAGCCAAAAATGAGTTCAAGTAAAAAATTTATTTCAGTCAAAGTTGAAATTACTGCGTCCTACAGAACCCAAATCTGTATGAAATATGGCAAGTTCTTTATGGCAGCTTTTCTTCCTGGAAAGACAGCTGTTTCTGACTGTATGTTTTAGTTTGTTTCATTTATGTGGGTTTTGTGCTTCAGTACATGTTTTCATAAATGACCTACCTGGCCTAAGCCTACTCAGGTCTTCTTGCTAACTGGAGTGTGCCATCATTGCCAGCTCCAGCATGCTGGCCATAGTACTTGCAGAGTCAGTCAAAATGGATAATTAATCACGTTGAATATTACTATCTCCAAAGAAGACCCCTTAGGATTGATTTTCAGTCAGATCACTTTTCTGACAGAGAGGCACTAACAGAAACACGTCTGTCAGCTGTAATGTGAATTTAGACCTCTTAAACTCACTATAAACTGCCTCATGTAAGATATTATCCTTGTGCTATCTTAAAACAGATAAAGTCAGAAGCTGTAGCATGTGTGTAGGATGGAGTACCTTTTCTTCTTTCTTACAACTGTTAATCCTGAGAAGCAGTCCAGAGTTC